CCCCCCCAGAGGGGAAACTGAGGCATGAGCAGCCTTGCCCATGGCAAGGCATCACCGAATGGTGTAATGTGGATTATTACAAAGAGAGAAGACCCCTCCAGGTCTCGAGCAAACGTCGCAGTTGGGAGAGGACCCGTGGGTGTGAGCTTAGGGGGGGTTATCAATGCCGGTCTGGCAGAGGAGAGGAGACAGGAGCAGGATCCGACCTCGGCAGGACCCAAACACTCCACCCTGGAGATGCACTCCAGGGACGGCAGCACTCCGAACTGCCGGCACAGCGCGAGCCTCCCACCCAGGGCAGAAGCACACCCAAGCCAGCCCAGCAGCACCCCCAGACCAAGGCGGGGGATCCCCCTCATGCCCGGCACAGCTCCGTGGTCCCCAAGCCATCACTAGCAGCCGCTTTGCAATTTCAGTGCCCCCGTTAGGGCTCATCTCAGCCCATTTGCTTGCAGTTAATATCAATGCCGCGGACATGAGCAAACAGCCCCAAGTAGTCCGAGGCTTATCAACGAAGCCCAATTAATCCCTTGCTGTACGCTGATAGCTCAGCCAGCACCCAGTGCGCCCGGCTGGCCGGACTTCCCAGCCAGAGACCCACATTCAACCCAGCTGATGGGTCTGGGGGGCTGCCCGGGGGGCTCACGGCATGGCTGCCACCATCAAGAGCATCCTTCGATAGCAGCAGCCAGTCACCAAAATCCACGGGAGTGCACCGGAGGCTCCAGCACTGCCATCATATACCTGTGCGGAGGAGAAGCCCCAGCACCAGGCGTGGAGCCTGGGGGAACCTACCAGAGATGTTGGTGGTGATCTCGGTGAGCGCCGTCTGGCCAAAGCCCTTGCCGGTGCGGGCCCGGACCGAGAAGAGGTAGGTTGTGCCGGGGTGGAGGTTGGAGAAGACGTGGTAGGTCTCATTGTGTAGTTTGGAGACAGTGCGTCGCGGGCCAGGCACATTGACCGCCGGGTCGGAGGACTCAATGCTCTGGTAGCTGATCTGCAGGGACAGAGCAGAGCATCACCAGCAGCCGCAGGAGAGGGGAGAGACCCCAAATCCGGGCGGAGAAGGGGTCAAAGGGATGGATTCAGAGGAGGGGATGGTCATAGGGGCAGCCTGGAAGGCAGATGCTTTTTGGGGTAAATCAAAAGCAGAGGTTCATCAGAAAAGCCCTTGCTGGATAATACTGGTGACCCCAAAAGCAGGACTCCCCAGCAGGGACAGACCCTGCCAGCAGGAAGAAGAACGCAGGCTGGATCCGTGCTCCAAACGAAGGGCTCGGGAGCAGCAATAACACTGCAGCCACCCTTAATCCCTGTGACCAAAAGTGGTGGTTGCCCCAGATCTCCCACACCGCATCCCCCCCGACGGGACCCTCCCATGTCCCCATGGGTCCCCTGCGGGTGCCGCAGCCGGCCGGGACGTACCTCGTACTGTGTGATGAGGCCGTTGGGCTCCACCGGTTCCTCCCACTTCAGAAATATCATGTCCTCCAGCGGGGTGAAGGTGAGGGACTCCGAGGAGATGCCACCGGGCACTGGGGAAGGAAAGGGGACATGCTCAGATGTGGCAAGAAACCAGGCTGGAAGGATAAATCATCTGGGAAACCCCTCCAGGAGGCTGCAGCTGCTCTCCCCCGTGACCGAGCCACCGCGTCCCCTCTGCCATGTCACCCAGCTCTGGCATGTGCCACCAGACGGGGCTGGTGGCTCCCCAGGGCAACGATGCTCCTGCCCAGCTCCCACAGGTACCATTTCTGGCATCGCACCCAGTTTCCCACAGCACAGCAGCAAGCCCCCAGGCGCCATCACCGGCGGAGCTCACCCGAGTTCACCAGTGCGAGGAAACAAAACAAAAAAAAATTCCCTTTTCCCACACAACCCAAATCCCCCTGCCGGAGCCACCGGCATCCTCGGGAGACATTGCCAGCGCTCCCCCCAGCAAGCAATAACATCCTCATCTGCGCACAGGCTTGACATGCCCCAACCTTCCCCTCTAATTAACACCACCAACAATAATAACCGCAAACAATAACAGCGATCGACAGCACTGGGATCAATATTCACTTCTTTACCATGGATTTCTTGACCCGAGGGGGTGAGCGAGGAGGACAGGAGAGGCGACGGCTCAGCAAAGACCACAAATTCACCAGCAGCATCCTCCACTGCGGGCTTGAGTACCCGAAACACGCACCCTCTCGTTGCAGAGGGACGTCAGCGCTTCCCCTCTATTTTTCTTTTTTGCAGCTTTTGTTCAGATCTAATTACGGGGCCGAGAGAGAGGGATCGCCTTCCGCGCGCTTCCCACCGTGCAAATACACAATTTCCACTTGATTTACAAGTTAATTTAATCAGAGGCACCGTGTCCTACACATGTACACAAGGCACTGATTAAATTCACGGAGAATTACGGAAACCTTTAGGGCAAGAATGTGTGTACCTATATAAATATTTTTATATATATAGGTACGGGCACCACGCGCTTGTGCATGCAGCAGGCTGAGACCGGCAGAGGCGCACAATGGCTCCCAGGTGTGCGTATACCCCTCTGCCATCCATATACGCACATATATATTTCTTTATGTATTTACATATATTTCTTCTGGCTGGCACTGCATGCACCCTGCCTGCAAGGGAGGGAACCAGCTCCCTGCACACGCCTCTCCCCAGCACCAACACGCTGCAATGGCATTTCCATAGGCACCCGGGATTGAGCCTCATCGTTTCGTGCAGACATAGTCCAAAATCTCCAGCCGACGGTCACCGACCTTCCCGAGCATCCTTGGATCTACATGGGGCACTTGAACACCAGCTGGGCAACCTACGGATGGGTCGCTCTCCTCTCTCGGTGCCCTGCCCACGCACCCAGGAGGCAGCAGGACTTCACCCGGGGTCCAAGGGGGATGCTGTGAACAACGCCCTTGGTTTGGCCCAGTTATTAATGCCCCAAAAATGGGTCTTCCAGTCCCAAAACAGGGTTTACCCCTTGGGATGGGGGTGTGCATCTTTGCAGCCTACGCCAGGGCCCCCCCACCCCCCCAGACAAGCCCCAGCATCGCACCAGCGGACGCTGCAGCCGAAGCTGGCCCTGTGCTTCAAGGGTCTTATCAAGCGGCTGCTCGTCACCCGGTTGCGGGAGCTCGAATCCTCACCATCCTCCCAGGCAGGGAGACGCCGGGCCAAGCCTGCATGTAATATTCGCAACATATCCACAGGCAGATATCCATCGATCGATCCCACCCGAGGCCGGCCGTATACGCGGCCCCAAGTTCAATCCAAGGGGCGAGCCGCAAGCCCCGGTTAATCAAGGCATAGGGGAAAGCAGCTGGAGTGATTACAGCATAGCAAAAAAACATCTGGAGCTCCTGTATTAATATTCAATACGGAAACAGCTGGAACAGTCACAGCACAGTGAGAACAGCTGAAGCAATTAGAGCCAGAAAATAAACCGTCAGGAGCGTGAAGCTGGGTGCCCCCGATCGGGCAGGCTCAGGGTTGGGGATACAGAAAGTGCTGACGCACAGAGAAAGGTGCCGAATTTCAGCTTTAGAGCTGAAAACGGGACCCGGAGACCCTCCCGGCTCCGCTCCAGCTCTGCAGGCTTTGCTTTCCAGCCTGGGAAACGGGAGCGATGAGCAACGCACACACAAAAGCTGCACGGTTCGGTGGGTCCCAAATCGAGGCGAGTCCCACGCAGGGGGATCTCATGGCAGGCTTCTCCTCGGGGGTCGTCCAGGGGGTCTGGAGCCGGCCAGATCCTTTGCAATTATCAATTTTCCACCTTAATTGCTGATTCGTGATACTAAAAAGTGCTTCGGAGATGAATTACGTTCTTGCTTAACAGTAAGCGCCGGTGTCTCTGCGGGAGCCAGGGATGCTCCGGCCACACTCAGCACCCACCCCAGGGCACAGCGGCTCCTTGCACCACACGCAAGCCCCAACCGCTGCTGCCCTCGGCAGACCAGGATGAGACCCCCTTGCCCCAGCGGGCTGCAGGACCAGCGGTTAGAGCGGCAGCATTTGGGGGCTGCCCAGCTGTCCTTGAAGGCGGCTGAGTCGGCACGGCACGCGGAGGAGATGCTGATGGGGCAGCGAAGAGGGTGTGACGAGTGGAAGGAGTTGTTGGCGGGAGCTGCCAGCCCTGGATGCGGCCCGTCACTGATGGGTGGCACTGGAGACATGGAGCTGGCTCTGCCCTGTACCTCCTGCCACGTTCACCGGATCTCCAGAGCCCAAATCACCCGAGCACTCCGCTGATGGAGAGCTGCAGCCAGGGACCGTGGTGCAGGGTAAGACCAGACCTGGGAGACCTCTCCAGTGGCCCCAGCTCCAGGACATCCTCGGGGAAGGGCTGGGCAGGAGCAAGAGATGCCAAACCCAGGAGTCCTGGAGCAACGCTGGAGCCTCCGGAGAGGACGTCAGCCCCGCTCAGGTGCTGGCAGCGGGGACCCAACCCCAGGGCACGGCCAGGACAGGGAGAAGAGAAACAGCTCGGCTGCTCAGGAGCAACGCTGCTGGCAAATAACCGGGGCCAGACATCCCTTATCAACACACGCTCATCCACAGAGCTCGTTTGCACAACCCGAACACACCCGAGAGCAAACTTGTTCTCCAGCAAACTGGACAACAAGTCTGATGAGGAGCGGCTGCGGGAACTGGGGTTGTTCAGCCTGAAGAAAAGGAGGCTGAGGGGAGACCTCATTGCTCTCTACAACTCCCTGAAAGGAGGTTGTAGCGAGGTGGGGTCGGTCTCTTCTCCCAAGTAACAAGCGATAGGACGAGGGGAAACGGCCTCAAGTTGCGCCAGGGGAGGTTTAGATTGGACGTGAGGAAAAATGTCTTTACTGAAAGAGTGGTGAAACATTGGAACAGGCTGCCCAGGGAAGTGGTGGAGTCACCATCCCTGGAGGTGTTTAAAAGACGAGTAGATGAGGCACTTAGGGACATGGTTTAGTGGGCATGGGGGTGTTGGGTCGACGGTTGGACTCGATGATCTTAGAGGTCTTTTCCAACCTCAATGATTCTATGATTCTATGATTAACCGGGGAAGAGCACTGGGGAAGCCGAGCAAAGCTGCACCGGGCTCTGGTTAACAGCTGTCTCCCAGCAATGCAGCAATGCCGAACTGATCAGCGACCAAGCAGATAAAAGATGTTACCTAAGTGCAAAGCATTGATTGTTTCAATTATTATTATTGCTGCTAGGCTTTGGTTCCACACTAAGGGATGAGCGAGGATGACTCGTGCTGGAAGAAGCCGGGCATCAGCCAACCGTTGTGCCCTTCACCGGACCGGGCACAGCTAAATCGTTCCACTCAAAGGACCAGGGCAGCATTTCTGCAGCAACGTAGGATGTTCCTCCGCCAGAGCAACCGGTGCTGCCCCATCCCCCTCGTCCGCACAAGCCGCTCCCAGCATTTCCCTTCCCCAGCCACCGTCATTGCCCCTTTCTCTCGCCTTCCCTTGCACAGCCCTGGGGCTGCAACAGCCTTTTCACCTCCCCGCTAGCGCGACGGTTGCAGGAGATATTCCCATCATGCCCTTGGCCAAGAGCCACAGATGTGCACCGTGCCACACCCCGGCAGCTCGCCAGCCACGGAATCACATTTCTGGGGACGATGCACCCCCCCCCGGGCAGACTCACCGTCCTCATCTGTCTGGAATATCACCTCCTTGCCCTCCTTGCGACCCTCGGGGTTAGAGAGGATGAGCTTGACGTGGATGTTCTTGTAGGGCAGCAGGTTTTTGATGGTGTAGCGGTTGGCGTTACGCTCCATCTTCACACACTCCCGGAAGGTTTGGTTGTGGCCGGTGCCCACGAAATAGCGGTAGCAGAGCGAGACGGTGTAGGTGTGACAGCGGGTCAGGTTGTAGCCCAGCGGCTCCCACTGCAATGTCAGCTGCCTGGACTGGATTTCGGAGAAAGCCAGGCCTTTGGGGGCCCGCATGGGCTCTGCGGGGGAAGAGAGATGGGGAGAGATGAGCGATGAAGCAAAACATCTCGTGGGTTTAAGTGTATTATCAGGGAAAGCCCTTTTACAGCGTAGGGGTGAGATGGCCGGGTGTAAAGAGCAACCCTGACCCCAAAACTGAGACCAGCCCCGGCACAGGATGCTGCTGCCCTGCAGACAGGGCTGGGGACGTCACCGGGTCTCAAAGCCACCAACACCACAGGGTCAGCAGCCCCCGTTGGCTCATCCTCCCCTACGGAAGAGCCACGGCGGGCACCGGGAGCATCCACACCACGAGCGGCCCCAAATAACCAGGTAAAGGTGCTTGCACGATGGGAGCCCTCGCATTTTCATCAAGCCCATGTCAGGCTCTCCAAAGGAGAGAGACTGAGCACCGTTGCTGGGAAGGAGTTTAATTAGCTTTAATTGGCGTGAACAGGAGAAGTCAGATTTAATGAGGAGCCAAGCTCCTTTGCCAACAGCACACGCACACAGGTGGTTTGGGTTAATGGCAGTAAACTCTTTTCCATACCCAAGGGTGGTGAGAAGGACACCGAGAGGGAAGGAGGGTCTTTGTCCACCCTGTCCCAGAGCTGATCCCCCAGGCGATTCCCCTGGGATTTGCACTGCGGAGCAATTTGGGCAGCTCAGGTTTGCAAGAGGCTTTTGCAACCTCAGCGGATGCTCCTGCAGGTCCCAACGCCCTCACGGGACCGTGCAAAACCCCTGGGTTTTGGGGGGGGGGGCGAGCACAGCAATAGGCACACAGCCCCACCCTGCAGGGACCCCAGCCCGTTGCCACGTCCGGCTCTCGGCTCTACCCTGCAGGGACCCCAGCCTTAAACCCGTTGCCACGTCCGGCTCTACCAAAAAACACCAAACCTCAGCCCCGATGCCCACCGGCATCCCTCCCCCGTTGGGTGGCCAAGGGCACGGGGACCTCTCCTGCCACCTCTCCCTAAGGCCTCCAGAGCCCCCCACACCTCCCCGGGCAGCGCCGTGCGGTGCCAGGCTTCAACCTTCCCCTCTCCTTTTTATTCCAGTGTATTTAAATGCTCCGGGCAGAGGCCGGCAGCACGGCACCCGGGGCCGATGACGGCAGGCAGCACGCGGCCACGTGGGGAATCTCCCCTCGCCCCAGCAGCTGCAGGATGCATCTACCCGGCGGCTTTTTCCAGGGTCCCCTCCCAGGCTGGATCCTACAAAGTGTGGGAGACACAGCACTGGGCAGATGGGCTGGCGAGGCTCGGAGGATGCAGAGGATCCAACCGCAGCCGCCTTTTGGGTGGAGGAAGGGCGGCTGTGTCACCAG